AAAATATAATGTTGAGAATAAACTCGTTAAATTTCGAGAAAAAAGTTCAAATAAAATTGAGAATAAACTCGTTAAATTTCAAGAAAAAAGTTCAAATAAAATGTTGAGAATAAACTCGTTAAATTTCAAGAAAAAAGTTAAAATAAAATATTGAGAATAAACTCGTTAAATTTTAAGAATAAAGGCAATGTGTTTTGAGAAAAAAAGTTAAAATAAAATTTTGAGAATAAATTCGTTAAATTTCAAGAAAAAAGTCAAAATATAATGTTGAGAATAAACTCGTTAAATTTCGAGAAAAAAGTTCAAATAAAATTGAGAATAAACTCGTTAAATTTCAAGAAAAAAGTTCAAATAAAATGTTGAGAATAAACTCGTTAAATTTCAAGAATAAAGTCAAAATATAATGAGAATAAATTCGTTAAATTTCGAGAAAAAAGTCAAAATATAATGTTGAGAATAAACTCGTTAAATTTTAAGAATAAAGGCATTGTGTTTTGAGAAAAAAAGTTAAAATAAAATGTTGAGAATAAATTCGTTAAATTTCGAGAAAAAATTCAAATAAAATGTTGAGAATAAACTCGTTAAATTTCAAGAAAAAAGTCAAAATATCAGAATAAACTCGTTAAATTTAGAGAAAAGAGTCAAAATAAAATGTTGAGAATAAACTAGTTAAATTTCAAGAATAAAGTGGAAATAAAATATTGAGAATAAACTCGTTAAATTTCAAGAATAAAGTGGAAATATAATGTTGAGAATAAACTTATTAAATTTCGAGAAATAAAATGTTGAGAATAAACTCGTTAAATTTCGAGAAATAAAATGTTGAGAATAAACTCGTTAAATTTGAAGAATAAAGTGGAAATGAAATGTTGAGAGTAAACAGACTGGTTTCTTGTGTATTTCATCTGGTTGGACGTTGTTAAACTGCTTCTCCAGTGGCGGAGGTCGCAGAGTAATGCACTTGGATGCAGCTGTGATGTGATCGAGGGTTCGAATACGTCTTTTGCTGAGCTCGCTCTTCTTCCTTTTCTCATCACATTGCAGAAGTGGAAATCAATTATAATCTATTAATTAGTGGTAGGCAGGCTATAGGGAGGGCTTTGTTGTCCCAATAAGGCAGCACCTATTTAATCATTTTTAATAAATAAAATCATATTCATTCATTGTATTGCATTGCATTGACATACATTAACAGGATGTCGTTAAATTTGAAGAATAAAGTGGAAATAAAATGTTGAGAATAAACTCGTTAAGCCCGCAGCTTGTCTAGCGAAATGTAGCCTATTATATATGCAAGCATAATTTACAAATCAGCCGTTTCACGATGTCAACACAAGGTGGCAGCACTAAAGCTTATGCCAGATGTATCAGTAAAACGTGATAGCTCGTATGCGCTGTCATTTCTTTAGCGCACCGAAAGCGTGTGATCCGTGCTGCACAGAGCGTTATTATCTCAGGCCACCACTAGACAGCGCTGTGAGAAGCGTTCGAGTTTAAAGCACAGCTCCACACACACACACACACAGACACAGAGAGAGAGACACACACACATACACACACACACGTGTGATGAGACCGGAGCGTCACACACACACACACACACACGTGACGGAGTGTCCTGTGATTGCAGGAAGAGACAGCGGGAGGAGGAGATCGAGACACAGGAGCGCGCCAAGAGAGAGCGAGAGTGGCAGAAGAACTTTGAGGTGAGAGAGAGAGAGTGTGTTGTGTGTGTGTGTGTCTCTCTCTGTGAGTGTGTGTGTGTGTGTCTCTCTGTGAGTGTGTGTGTGTGTGTGTGT